AGTTTGAAAAATATGGATATGGAAATAATATATGACAATGTATATTGGATAGAAACGGCGTTCAATTGGACAAACACAAATTTCGATTGATATTTCATTGTGAAATAGGAATATGATAGTATCGCTCTTCAAAATTATTGAATTAATTTATAGCAAAGATCTTCTTCTCGTTGTCATTATCTCGCTTGCATAACCTCGCAGATAACACATTTACTGAGAAGATTAAAAAAAAATTTTTTTTTTCTCTTCTTTACTTTATTATCATTATTATTGTTATTGTTATTGGTGTTATTATACAATAATAATTTCTTTGTTTGCTTTGTTGTTATGATTTTTTCTTTCTACTTTTTCCCGACTTTATTGGGATCGTTGGCTTATAAATTAATGTCGGACCTTTTGAGAAACCTTTTCATTCCTGACATACCGATATAAAGTTTGGCCATCTAGAAATCGGTTCGCCTCCCCATTGGCATTAATCGCGATTAAACGAGCGGTAAACGAAGACGAGCAGCGCTGGCAAAATATTCGCTCGCTTTTTCAGAAAATGCAACGTTTAAATAATGAAGGAAGGACCGTATTGACCAACTCGTCGAGTAGTCGCGCCAAATGTCGCAGACACTTCGCTCAGACGGATAAATCAAAGTTGCAAACAAATACGTCCAATAGCCTAATTATCTCTATTCCCTTAGAATCATCTCATTTCACGTCTATTTAGGTATCGGAAAATCCAGCCCACCATTGCCGTTCAATTTAATACGGCTGGAGTTTGATAGTTTCGAGTATTAGGTAAAAATTTTCCTCTCGTAACTCGATTAACTCTTAAATTGCAAGCAGATCATTAGCTTCATACTTTAGCTTAATTTGGGACTTTTAATAACTAGAAATTGTATTGTAATTTATGAATACGGATATCGATGGCAAAAACAAAAAACAAAAAACAAAAAACAAAAAAAAACAAAAAACAAAAAACAAAAAAAAAACTTTAACTTTCCTACGTTCAGATAAACCGGAAGGATTTAAGCGATTGAGCGATTTAAGCGAGCGAAATTAAATTAGTGTGCAAACGACAGCTTTTGAGAAGCAACAGAAGATACACGTGTAATTGATTAGGAAAATTTGTAAAGCCGAGCTCCTTATCCCCTCCCCCCCCCTCCCATATCCTCCAATATTTGTAGCGAGACACGCATTCCCGGACTTTTTATTCGTCGAGCTGTCCAACTTTCGCGCGGCCGAGAGTTCGCAGGGCTTTACGACTGAAAAATGTTTGAGCAAACGCGTTCACGATAACTATTCGGGTGCGCTGGCACGGGGGCGAGAGTCAGGTCGGGCTATGGCGTCGGGGGATTGGAAGGATAAGGAGATCCGTAACAGGAGAGTTCGAGCATTTGTATAGTACCGATGGGGAGGAGGTAAACAATCGATAACTGCACTTCTCATGGGCTCGCGATTTCTTCTCTATATTGTCTCCTCTTGACAACCTTTCCGACCTCGTTTACGTCCAATGAATAATTGTCATTTCAAGCGGATCGCCGCCTCGTCCCGTCGAGCGAGATACGATTCAATGTCGTTCAACGATTGTGGCTCGCTTCCATTGTTTGCTGTTTTGGCTCGGCTGGGTTATCGTTTTTTGGTGCTCCGAATTATTAATATCGCAAGCTTTTGCGATATCTATGATTAAACTCATGACTCGTTATTCCCAAGTATTTAATTTATTCTGAGCATAACTCGAGTCTCCACTCCTCTCCTCCTCCTCCTCCTCTTCCTCACCCCCTCCCCACCTAATACAAACCACCACCCTCACCATCTACCGCCAACAATATGATATTAAAGTAGATGGGTGCCGAATTATATAATACGCTATTATATAATATACGCCGATGCACTCTCAACCTTTGCCGATGAATGAAATGTTAATAATATAACGTAGTCGTATTTTATTTTGTTTATTGAACATTATATTGACAACTACTCGTCATTCAATTGCTTCCGTAATAATTAACCTTAACACTTGGCACTTTAATCGAATTTTTCATTTTCAAATGTTAATGTCAGATAGACAGCTGCGTACTTATGTATTATAAAGGAAATTGATCTATTGGCGATTAAAATGAACAAACTATACTTATTAATCAGAGCTTTAGCCTTAATGTAGAATAATATATCTTTGGATTGTCATCTGTTAAACGGAAGAAATGATTTTCTTCGTAAAGAGTAGCTAAGGATAAAAGAAGTAATTAGTAATAAGTAATAAGTAATTTCGTACGAGTATAAGTTAACTGAATTTTTAATATAACGATGTTTAATAATATTATAAATTTTTAACGAATCGACTAAACGCGAATGACATAATTCGTTCAAATAGAATTTAACACACGTGCATATCCTTTATCTTAATATTAACTTATTTGGCATATTTTAATAATAACAATGATGTGTGCCGATATTACGATCAGGATTAACATTACAAAAACTATAATCATCATTGTAATGATAAATAATGACAAATATAACAATTTTCACAATAATTAGAGTAATAAAATACATAATAATAAAAGTAAACATAATAGTCATACCTGATATTTAAATTGCCGTAATGTCCATACTATGGACAGGTTCGCAAGCTTCAAGTGTGCGTTGTACGTAACTTTGCATTTGTTATGCATTTATTCTCAAAAGTAAACGAGACAAATGGCAAAGAGAAAAGAGTTTAGAAAATTTACTCATTGATCGGCGCACAAGATTTATAAAAAATCAAAGCTGCGGTACTTGAATAGCCGCTAATTTCCGAGCCACTATCGCACAAATAATTATTGTTTGCAGACAAACATTATAAATAAAATAGCCTATGAATACATCAGACGCGTTGCTAAATCAAAAGTACTCATATCAATAACTATTATGCAGATTAATCCAATGCAAATATAGCCTTTGCCGAATGTACGTCAATCACATGTACTGTGCAGCAGTCGATCCCGCACGCATCCCGTTAATGACGGATCTCGTTGCTTTTCCTGTCCCGTCTGTTTACATTTTCTAGGATTAAGCCGCAGCGCGGTCGCGTCATTTTGAAAACAATCGCTCGAAGCCTAAAGGAGCACGAGAAGCGAAAATAATGCCCCGATTCGCGTAAAAACTGGCACTTCACGAATTTCGCACCGCTGGCTGCTGGAGCACCTAAGCACCACGAGCGCATAATATCGATTTCGTCCTCCTTTTTCTCACCTCTTCTTCACCTTCCCCTCCCCCACTTCGCCAACGAGTACCCCCTCCCGCTTACCGCCCCGCACCCCACCGCCGCCACCGCCACCGCCACCGCCACCGCCACCGTCGACTCTCTTGTCACGCCACCTCCCTTGCCGCCCACTTCCTTCTCATCCTCCTCCGCCAACCATCGATTCCGCAACCGAGCCGCGTGTGCTACTTCCGATGGCGGATGTACTTACTTTAAATTACTCGAGCTGCCAAAGCTCGGAAGAAAAAGGCTTTTTAGCCGAAGCCGGCCTAGTAAAAATTCTCTTTATCCCCACTTACGTGCATCATTGTGCTTGCTATTACATCCAATCATAATGACGCTGATTTGCTCGATCGAGAACCACTGCACATCCTTGTCCTCTATTCTTATGCGGGGGATTTCAAGGATTGGCTACTTTACCATACTAAATCATTTTTTACAAATACTAAATTAAGCTTCGTTATTGCATTACAAGCTGTCAACATTTAAGCGAATAACCTACCCCTGTCATAAACATGTTACGAGTCTTCAATTCGCTTGCATTGTTTTTCATTTAACGGTAAAAGTCTCTCGTTAACGTTAATTTCAATGGTAATATTGTCGTTGAGCTCGCTCTCGTAAAATTTCAATGCAAGTGTTTGTTATTGTTAAGGAAATGTCGATTCTGTGTGCAATATTATAGGTAATCGATGGAATCCCGGGGCGATTATTTATCTGATAATATAATTTGACAGTAATCATGCGATGAATGTGCGAAGTAGCGAGTAATTTAAATTATAAATACTGTCGAGATAATTTAATTTTTATATTAGCCAAACTTCATAAAAATTCTCCTTACGATTAAAATGTATATTGAGTTAAAATAACATCTAAGTATTTGAAATTGTATATGCTTTTAAGCTTAAGCAGAATTTAATTTCAATATTTGCTAATTGTACTTTCAATTATAATAAAACGAAACTTTGATTACTTAAAAATTATCATGTATTGCGACCACTAAACACTTAAAAATAAACTGTAAATGTCAAGAGAGCCAACTAAAAGAAAAACTTTTTAAGTCTAAATTAAAAAGAAGTTTTTTTTCTTACAGACAATTAAATAAATAATATTTCATTACGTATATATTAATATGGCAAAGAGTATTAAGAAAATTGTTATTAAAATATGCGGATAGTAAGCGTATTGCCATAAACATAACATTATAACATTTACGTTTAAAGCACCATTTTACCATCATATAGGAAACAAGAAACGACGACGTTGACATATAATCTCAATTTATTATATCTCGTATTAAAATTATTTAAGCTAATTGAATTTTATTAGATTAAATTACATTCATTAATAAGAAACATATAAACAATTTTCATCCCTTAATTGTTCTTGTATCGGAGTCCACTTTATGAATTGTTCTTGCATAAAAACTTTGAAATATTCGCAATATTCCAATAATTTTCTCATTTCATCTTTATAATAATTTTGTTAACAATTATTATAAACTGTATTGTTCAATTACAAAGCTCATTAAGATGTTGAAAAATAAATATGATTAATATATTGGATAAATAGAACAGATTTTTTATTTTAATGCGTTAGATCAAATGTAACAATTTATTCTTTGAAACATTGTCAATAAAAATATTCCACCTAATAATAAATAATATTTACATACACATTTATATGTATATACATATTATAATATTAAAATTAATTTGATAAGAAGTAAAATATTAAATTAAAAAATTGAAATTATTATTAATAATACGTTATCATTTTTCTAATCACTTCACATCACGTAAAAATGCAAAATCATTTAGTATCCGGAAATAGCTAATCACTTTCCGAAGCTGCTCTATCGCTTTCTTCCATTTTTTTGATAATATCTTTAGCGGGATTAAACACTCCATTTGTTTGCGTATTGCAAATAAAGCATCTAGTGCTCTTTTTATATTGAGCCAAAGCACACTTTTCACAGAAATAATGCTTGCATCTAAACATAGTTGTCGGATTAAATTCAATTTTTCAATATTGTAAAATGCAATGTTTTTATAAACTTTATAAGAATCGAGTCGTTTCAACTTACTTTGTCACAATAGGATCTTGAAATCTATTTCTGCACATGAAGCACTTAAAGGGAAGGTGTTCCTCGTCGCTATCTATTTCATACTTTGTGTCATCTTCGTCACCGCTGAGATCGTGGGTACCAACTGCTGCTTCGCGCTCCAATTGCCAACCCAACTTATAATCCGAACGGTCGTGAAGAAATTTACAACTGTCTAAAGGAATAACGTCGAAACAAAAATATATGAAAGTAATAATAAATTTAATTTTCATCGATAAGCTTACAAAAGAATTAAAAAACAAATCATTTATTAAACGAAACATTAATGCCCTATCGCACGCGCATACTTATATACATTGATACAAACCTCCAAACCCACAGAATCCAGTTTCTTTATAGTCCTTACAAATGTCAGGTTGATAATCCCATCTAACAGTTGCTCTTAAATTAGCAGGAGCTCTTATAGGACCCTTACGAACCATACCGCTGGATGCATTACCAGCTGCGGTATCTTTTTTCTTATAATATTGTGCATAATTATTCATGCCTCTGTAGATTTTATCATCTTCTTTGCCTTCTAATTGCTTGAAAGACAAATCGAACAATAATATTCAAAATATTAGAATTTTTGAATTCTAGAATGTCTCAAACTACCAACGATAAAGATATACAACCTCGTTTATCTTTTGGGCTTTCTCAAATATGGCTTGAGCATCTCTGTCAATTTCTGTCTCCGTCTCTAAAATTGCTGTAGCCCCCTGGTCGCTAGGACCTGCAGGCAGTGGAGTTTTTTTACTTTTGTACAATACCATTACCGAATCATCTTCGCTGCTATTCTCGTCTTGTGGCCTCCCTCGTCTCTTAGAGTTTGTCTACAAAATGCTACATACATATAAAATCTAGGATTCTGCCAATCTTAAGATTAAAATTGAGACTCGTTATATAGCATATAAAATACCTACGCTTTGTATCATAGGATTCAAAACATCTACTTTTCTCTCCTTTTTTATAACTGTGGTATCATCTTCGCTGCTGTCTAATTATAAAGTTAATCATAAAGTCAAATTATAAATGCTGTATAATTATAAAGCGTAAAATGTAATTGAATAGATATTAGTCGGTGAGTCTAATATTAATACACCCATTACTCTCATTTACAAATTGACCTTATCAATTATTAACAGCCATACGTCGAAATGTAAACAGTACTAAAAAATATTGCTATTGCAATTAAAGTGTTCCAAAACACAACATAACCTGCAAAAACATCATCGAGTGTGCGCTACCGATGGAAATCAATAAATTCTTATCTCTTTGCGTACACTCACCGCTGTCATTTTTCGTCTGACGCTTCCTAGATACCTGCTTCCGTATAGCACGCTTTTTAAAGAGAAATTTACAGGTATCCGTATCAACGACGCAATTCCCAATGCTCCCATCCTTTGGATCCTCCATGTTTGTTTTGTAAACATCTGCGTTTTCCTGGCGCGCCAAATACGCGAAGTAACCCCTTCGCGGCTCGCCATGCGCCTGTGTGTTATGCGCTTGGGTGTTCTCTCGACGACGCTTTCCGTAGTTTAGTACCGACTCGTCTCTACCCTATTTTCATTTTCCTATTTTCATTAGGTAAGCTCAAAAGGTTCGTCGCACTTTGCTTTACCAACGGGAACGAGTCGGTGAGTATTGCAAAGGGGATTTTGTTATTAATTGTCAACGGCCACTATTTCTCGACTGCCAGACGCGATAGGGAGGAAAAATTCTGGAGTCCAATGTAAAGGCAAATAATGAAATGCCAAATTAATGTTTGCGGGCATTATTTAACGTTAATTTGGCGTTGTTATTACAAAATCTCGTCGAGGATTTAATTGTATTTTAAATTCGTTGTTTTTAAAAGGGATTGTGAATGAAAATTTGTTCAAACAATGATATTTAAAAATGTAAAATTGTTGGTGATGATTTAAAATTCTTTAGCTTATGGGTGTGAATTACGAGTGATCATTAAATATTTAAAGCGGTAGTATTCTGAAGAATAAATGTGAAATTTTTGTGCTTACATCTTTTAATGTAATTAATTATTCGTCAATTAAGGAATATTGACTTTCTACTTGTAGAATTTATTTAAAGATCCATTGACCTTAAAAAAATATCGTTACCCTATTCAGCTTGTCTTTCTATTTTATAATGTAATGAGTATTTTATTATTTTGCAGATAAACGAAAAACAAAAAAAAAATGAGTAAAAAGAACATGGCAATTTCTTTTCATAATCATGACAACATGATAATGTTAACGAGGAAATATTTAAAAAGAAAAATAATGTACCCGGAAACAAAATTTAGAAATCACATTCAGGAGCGTCTGCACGTTCTTGAATTAATGAAACGTACCGTTGATATGGGTGAAAGTAATTCAGTGCTATTAATTGGACCAAGAGGCAGTGGAAAAACTACTGTAAAATTTACAACTTACATTATTGCAATTTATTATTTCTTTAGAGAATAAATATGCGTATACATCGAACAGTTAATATTTATATTTTTTTATTTAGGAATACAAGTGTTTATATATATATATATATATATTATTTTCTTGCAAAATTAACTATAATACTCTCTACCTATAATAATGACCATTTATTATAAATTCATATAATAGGAATAATTAATTAAATTTCAGCTCATTAATAGCGTGTTAAAAGAATTGTCTTGTTCAAAAAATTTCCAAGACAATGCACTTATAGTGAGTCTTCATGGTCTAGTTCACACTGACGATCGATTGGCTTTAAAGGATGCAACAAGACAAATGCAATTGGAAAATGTTGTAGAAGATAAAGTTTTTGGTACATTTGCCGAAAATTTAAGCTTTCTATTAGAAAGTTTGAAATCTGGTGACAAAAAGCACTCCAAACCAATAATATTTATATTGGACGAATTCGATTTATTCTGCACACATCATAATCAAACTTTACTGTACAATCTCTTTGACGTGGCTCAATCTGCTCAAGTAAGGCTCTTTCTTTTTATTTTCTCATTATTAATCCAATTATTTTCAACTATTTGTTTTTAATTGAAATTTCTATTTATTCCCGTCTTTCTTGATCTTGATATCTTTTACGTTTGACAATTTTCGACTAGAAAAGTATCTAAAACTTCTAAATTTCAGGCTCCCATTTGCGTAATTGGAATAACTTGTAGGTTAGATGTTATAGAATTGCTAGAAAAAAGAGTCAAATCTAGATTTTCTCATCGACAAATATTCTTATATCCTGGCGACACATCTGGTTCCGACATACCAGCCTCAGTCTTCGATGATCGATTAGAACTCTTTGAGCGATTGCTTAGCTTACCCGATGATGAAAATGTTAATAAAATTGAAGAAGAAAACACAGAATGTAATATAGATGAGAAATTTCGAGCAATTTGGAATGATCAGATTAAAAGCTTGAAAGACAATCCAACGATTATTAACATTCTAAAACAAATGCATAAAACTGATAGGACGGAAAGGAAATTTAGAAATTTTTTAGCCATAGCAATTTCTTCGTTGTGCACGAGTCATCAAGAATTAGAAGTTGATGATTTTGTCCAAGCCAGTAAAATTTTTACGCAAAATGATAAGGTTTTAATTTTGGAGGGTTTGTCTATTTTAGAAATGTGCCTAGTAAGTAATAATATTTATAAATTCCACCATTCCGCTAATGATTTATTGTATTTAATTCTTATGTCACCTAAAACTTCAAATATATTTACAGATAATAGCCATGAAGCATGAAACAGAAATTTTTGATGGCGAACCTTTGAATTTTGAAAAAGTATCAAATCGTTATTTAAAATTTGCAAATCAAAATTCTGCTATTGCCTCTGTCCAAAAACCGGTAATCATGAAAGCATTTGAGCATATTAAAGTAAGTCTCGAGATATTTTATTTTTCTTTCTTTTTTTCTTCTTTTTTTTTTCTTTTCTTTTGTTAATATTAATTGTACAGTGGATGTTGCGTGGACATTAAATTGATCGAAAATTTTAGAATTTGGAATTAATCATACCTGTGGGAATGAACCAAAGAATCGAGAAGGAGTATCAATCTTATAAATTTACATTGACATCGCAACAGGTTATGGAGGCTGTCAAGAATTATCAAGATTTACCAACTGATATAACTCAATGGGCAGACAGTAGTATCATCTAAGATGATTTATAAAGTCGAAGATGCCTTTTTGCCATAACTTATAAATTTAAGAGCTAGTTATCTTCGATTTTGTTCGTAATTATTTTCTATATAGAGTATACTTTATGTCTTTGCTATACAAAAGACTTTTATCGATTAAAATTGTCTAAATTCAGTAAAAAATGACTAAATTGAAGTGAAAAAACGTCTTTTACCAGTGCCATTATATTTACTTATTAAAAATCATAGGAATAAGTGTATAACGATGCGGATGTGTGTGCGTGTGTTGTGTGCGTGCGTGCGCGCGCGTACACTCATAACCGTTTCATAATAAAATAGTGACTTTGACTGATTATTTTAGGGTGAGCCTGTTAAAAATTTCTTTATTAAGAACAAAGTCTGTGTTAATTTTAATGATAAATGATTTTAATTATCACGTAGCTGTTAATATAGTTAAAAAAAAATATGTTTGATTGATTATAAATAATTTAAATTTTAACTTCTTAATCTAGCACACTAGCAAAGAGAATTTCATTAGAAATATCGTTTAAATATTTGTAAATTTCACATCAAGTTGTACGAACGTATCTTACATCAACTTAAAAATTATAGATTAGATATTTTAAGATTTTATGTCAAGCAATTATTGAATTAATGAATCATTGTTTCTTAAGAGAAAAATTCAGTAGCCATTAATGTTTATTACACTATTTACGGGAAAAATGAGCCATTTTTTAAAATTTATTCAAACTTTACTCGCATATCTCACCAAGTTGCAATATTATTCTAATTTAATAATATAAATTTTTTTTGGTGTGTTTTATTTATTTATTTATTTTTTTTTTTCATACGATCTGAACACATTAGATTTTAGCATCAAACAAGTAGATTTTAACGTCGATACTGTCACATTGACACTTCAATTCAATGCATTTTTCGCTTAAAAGATGTAAAGCAATCATTATGTAAATAATGCCTCATCAAACCTGCCAAAAAATCTAGTTCGATAAACATTAAAGGATAATTTGTGCATGTGTGAGCGAGTGTATGTCCGTGTATTAGCAGTTAGTAGAAATTGCACGGACAAGTTCCTTCAGTAGGATACAATTGTGAAAACTTTGTAATAAAGTTTTCAAGTCAATTTTTGTAGTACTTATCAAGTAGTAGTCCCTATGTGAAATTCAGACTTAAGCGATTAGCGCGTCGTAACATTTATTTTGCAAGTCTATTCGATAATGGACTTTTAAACACTGGAATTCTATATAGTTTATTGAAAGTATCTTGTGAAATTGTAATCACGTAGCAATACAAGTAACTTAATCATGTCGTACTAGAAAACAATTTAAGCATTTAATTATCAATTTAATTTATCAATAAATATACAATTATCGTATAATTAATTTATTTTAATCTAATAGAGATAATAAAATTCATATCATTGTAAGAATAAGTAACCAATTGTATTACAATTGTCATTATAAGTTAGTAAATATGTTAAATATGTGCTAGTTAATACTTTAAAGCATTAATAATAAGTTAAGAGTAACGTTAAAAAGCTTAATTAGTCCATGCAAGCTTTAGTGAATCGGAATTGCTCGAGTTAATCGTAGGAATCTGTAACTTTTCCTCGAAAGTATTTTCCATTCTAATAAGCGGTCGTCGATGAAATATTTTTAGTCCATTGTTCAAGCGTTTTACGCGAATGACCTTCAGGATAAACGAGTCGTGTCCTTTAATATAAATAAAAAACAGTAACTTGATAAGTTGTAATTTAAATTGTTTGTGAACGTCAGAGAAACCCATCGAGCCATTAAAAGGAATAGCGTTATCGCTTATTCGAGGCAAAGTACCGTGTGAGTACAAGTCGTTTCGCGATATGAAAATGTTATCGATTGAATCTGTACTGTGAGGTGTATGAACTGTGAATCTGTACGGTGGTGGTGAGCCGCTAGTAAGCTCGCGCGATTCGTCCTATTCCGTGCTAAAGTTGTGCGAAATCGAAGTGACCGGGGGGAGGGAGGGGATGGTTGGGGAGGAGGGGAACGCTGCTTTATTATCCGATTCGTCCTATTCCGTGCTAAAGTTGTGCGAAATCGAAGTGACCGGGGGGGAGGGGGGAGGGGGGGTGGAGTGGAGTGGAGTGGAGTGGAGAGACTTTCCGATCTATTCTATTTCCGAACGATCTCCTGTCCGTTAAAAAAAACAAAACAAAAAAAAAACGATAAATTCTGGCCACAGGTTTCTCTGGCGAATCTCAATTACCTGGATTGGTACCAATGGAGGGAACGCCATTTAAGCTCTGTTTTTTACTCGGTAGCGGATGAAGCGCAGACAATGCCCGGCTCACGCCAATCTATCGGATAAACAAGTTATATTATTGTACCTGCGGCGACACGTCCTATGTATGACGCGAGTGAATTATTATATTGCCAATGATTGTAGCGTGTACGTAGCGCAGGCACATGTAAATAAATTATAACGTACTTGCGAGTGATGTATCCGATGCTCCACCAGATCAGCGCCGAGTAACTCTTCATGCTCGTCCATTCTTATCGGTATGATTTTATCTATTATCTAATATTGACAAAGTATTATAGCATTAATAAACGTCATTATTTATCATACATAATTATCACGTAGCATTTGCATTTTTAATTTAAATTTACTTTTCATTACCCATAGTAGAATGACGGATGATGTGAAACTCCATACGGATAAGCAAACACCTGTCAATAATTGAACCCCAAGTAAATACCAGCCCCCACCTATGGGAAAATAAGCCTAATGAGCCTAATCTCGATTTTTTTACGAGCGATAAATTATAAATATCCAAATTAATACTAAATTTGGCGGACGTTGGAGACAAATAATTTTTACTCGATGCATAAGAATTTTTGAAAGCAGTGTCGATTTTAGAAAAAGAAAAAGTAATCCATTCAACTCGGTCAGCCTAATTTCTCGTTAAATTAAATCGGTGAATTAGTTGCCTTACGAAGATTGCATAAGTAACAAACTGTGCTCATTATTCACAACGTGTGCATATAAAAATGATAGCGATGCAACGTATACCTTTAAATAAACCCTTCCGTCCACTTGTTGTATTGAGAGGATGTGGATCATCGGCGAAAAAGCCTATTGCCATCACGCCCCAAAATCCGCTTATCCCTAGAGAATTTGTGTGTGTGTGTGTGTGTGTGTGTACGCGCGCGTGTAACGCGATTAATTTAATAATCAGAATAAGCACGTAAACGCTTGCATTTACATGTTTATTCATCAAGTTTTGTCATTTTTACACGCAATGTTAATAATTTTATAATATACCATGGGTAGCAGATGCTCCAACAGGATCATCGACTCCCATTTTATCTAGCAATGGCATTGTAAAACAAGTCATGAATCCCCCTATCATTCCAATTAGTATTGACTCCCATGCTTTGTATAAAAAGCAGCCACCTAGTTAAAAACATAAACAAAAATAAAAAAATAAAAAAAAAAACAAAGAAAAGAAAAGTATTTAAATACTCGAATTATCATTAATGTTACGTGCAGCATTATTATTATAATTATTCATTCGGGTAATGATCGTTTATCCAATAAACAATTGTGATTTTTATTTTTAATATCACGTGGTGAGAAAGAAAAACAACAAAAATCCCTTATCATCTTAAATGAAAAGCTTAATGGTTCGTGTAGTCTTCTTGTGCTAAAGAAGAGCCTGCGGACATTATAATCACTTTAAAGTAGCGTGTAACGTGCATATCAGCGCATGCACATTTATTTCTATCGAATGTCAACAACAAAAAAGTTAATTGAAAAATCTTATATCAAAGTATTGAAATTGATTGAAAAGTCTTTGCTACGTGTAAGTTTAGAATTTTTATCTAATAGTGGAAAAATACATTGTTTGAAAAGTAAAACGGTTTTTCTTTTTCTTTTTTTTCTTTTTATTATTAGAAAATAAAAAATATGTTTTAATGCTTATTATTATAAAAGTTTATTCGAATACTCGTGTTACATCGAATTAACTTGAAATTTCAAATAACATATGAAGTTGTATGAAAGAGATTTTATAGATATGCTATTCAAAGTACGGATCCTAATGTTTTTAGGAAACATATTAATCGTGAATATTTATTAACACAGCGAAACTAAATTGACAGTAGTACTAAAAGTTCTGAAAAGTTTACCAACTTAATCGTATCATTAAGATAAAATAAATAATAACTTTGAAATTTGTTATTGTTGTAATTATACACTTTAAAATTTTTAATCATCAATGTACATATAAACTAGTGTTGTTGCGGTAAACTTTTAATATAAAAAATATTTTAGACATTAATAATATTAAATAATATTTTTATGTATTGAAAAATATGTCAAAGATAATGAATTGGATTTAATTGTTTAAAAGTTTGAAAAACTACGGTTTAGATATTACAATTAATTAATCATATTATGGTATAAATCTCTATTAATATTACATTTCATTGTTTCAATTCGATAAAAAATTATTATCACACTGGAGTAATTAATTTAAATTGATTATTTATTTAAGTCAGGTTCATAAACTTCAAAAAATAATTTACATTTACTTATTTATAATAATAATAACAACGACAACAATTATTATTATTATTATTATTATTACTATTACTGATATTGTTATGTCATTGTTGGTATCGAAAGATACAATTAATATGTAAGATATTAAATATTTAGTTATGATTGACGTGCTTTTAAATAAATACTTTTTTACTAATTGTATTATATAATATTTTATTCATAATTAAATGAAATAACTATATAATAATTACATCTGTGATAAATTAGTGTAAATGCGTGCAATGTAATGATAACATTATTCATGCGATTTATTATATTAATTATATAATTGTATGTCATCATTTGTTAATTTGTTAATTTTTATTTGTTTAAAATTTTTTATAAATTTTTATGTGTATGTGTGTGTGTGTGTGTGTGTGTGTGTGTCTGTCTCAAAGTGCGTGCGTGCGCGTGTGTGTGTGTTTAAATTCAATGAAATATAATTATTTTATTTTAATTAAAAAATTCAAAATAATTGAATTTACATTTATTTGAAAGTATATAATAATTTCAATTATTAAAGGGACGTAACGAGTATGCACGTATATATCTACTTCTTAATAATAAATTTATCGCTATAACAATTTAAAATTGTTCACGTAATCAATTAATTCAATATATACTTTGTACTTTATTAATTAAGCGAAGTTAAGTGTATGTGTACGTGTGCGTCAACACAATACGCAATTTTGTAAATACAGGCTATTAATGGGGAATGCATTATTGACTAATGCATTAATTGATTAATGCATTATAATAATCACACAACTTGTGAATTGTGCTAAAATATATGAAAAAAAAAGAAAAAAAAACGAAAAGAATACATTGGAGTGAGGGTTTCATAGATATTTAAAAATCGGCACAATATATATATATATATATATATATATATATATATATATATATATATATATATATAAAACATTTTATTTTCATTAATTTTCATCAACGTGCATAATTTTAAGATGAATAATTTACAACGCGATCGATGCTCTAGTCGGTCGTGCTTTTTTTCATGAGCGACGACGATGCTAATGAATGAAGGGGGTGGCGGCATGATCAAAAGTGAAGAAAAGCCGTGCTCGTAACGTGCTATAACGTAAGTATAATAAAAAATGGGCAGGTCGTCTCGATGGCAGCAGGACTGGAACTTTATAAGCGGCCAAAGCGATCAATCGGTAATTGAGAGAGCGCGTGTCCAGGTCAACGTCGTTCCTATTTTCGACGTCGTGGCAATATGAAGCGGCTCACCAGTGACGGCCACGAGAGATCCGAGGATACCGTTGATCTGGCTAAGGATGTCGATGCGTTTGGGATTTGCGAGGCTGAACCCAAGGCCAACGAGACCGCCCCCCATGCTGGCGAGCATCGTCGAGACGGCGGCCCTGGCTGCGTACTTCCAGCGCATTCCGCTGACCCCGTAGGTGCTGCCGCTATTGAACGCCAGCCAGCCCCACCTGCGAATTCGAGGGTTCTGAGTCCGGCCCCGAGCACCGCGTCTCGGGTCCTTACCACAGCACGAAGAGTCCCATGAGGGCGTTCACCGGGCAGCCGAGCGGTAGGGCATCGATCCCCTCGTCGTACCTGCCGAGTCTCGGCCCGAGCATCAGCGCACACGCCAACGCTTTATCACGAATACATTCCCAAGGTTACGCGTATTGAGCGCTTCGATAGTCTCCTCCTCCATCCCCCAGTCCCGCACGTAAACGCGCACACCCACCAAATCCACGATAGCCCCTCCTCCTCCTCCAACCTCCACCTCCCCCCTCCCTTCTTAATCATGGTTTTGTTGGAGTGATTTGTCGAAAACTTGTGATTTCTCAGGCTCCAAAATTGCTTACACGCGAATTTTACCAGCTAAGAGCGAGGATGAGTAAGGACGATCGCACAGCTTCGCGTTTATCTCGGACTACCTTAATAACCCCGATAAGTGAATCAGGTCGAGTGCAGATTTGCGATTCATCCTGTGTTTGTTTATCTATATACGACTTATTCGCCAACACTTGCTCTAACTGCTACTGTTTATAATATAAATAATATTAGTAAATGTATGCTCATTTTTATTAAACTTCAATTCTAATCCATAAATAAACAATATTAGACTGTGTTTGTCTATTGGTAGAAAAAAATCTGTACTCTTATTTTGTCATTGTATTAATTTTATGCATCAATTGTGAATCGCGATAAGTGTACGTACGTTGATACATATTTATATAATTTATTCATGTCAAATGTCTTACGAAGCTTCGAATACTTTATTCAAATAAACTGTTTACCAAATTAGAATTTCCCTAGAAAAACCCATCACTGCGTTTCTCTTGTGTTAAGCATGACAATTATAGCTAAATCGAATCGATATTAATAAAGTATTCGGATTTTCATATCATATAAAATTGTCCTGTCACTGTTTTCTAACGTGTCAACAAACGAAAACAAAACAAACAAACAAAACAAAACAAAAAACAAAAAAACAAACAAACAAACAAACAAACAAACAAACAAAAAAAAAGAAGGAAAAAAAAGGATAAATCTCAAGGGAGTACGTACTGTACGTCTAAGATGTAAACAGCATAAATGAATTCGTCTATTAGCTTATGTCACGAAGCTTAAAGCGATAATGAAATATTAAGTAAAACAAGCTATTAATACAATTACTTAGTATTATTTTGAAAATCCTTTTAAATTTTTACCAGCGGTGTATTATTATAAATGATATATAAATGATTAGTAATCATGTACTTGTCTTCAAATACAGCTAAATATTGAATGCATACAAACATGCACGCACGCACGCACGCACGCACGCAAATATCCATGTACACTCACGTAGATGTTAATAGTGTAATGTACTCAATTAAACTTAAAAATTCATTATTTGAACTTATGATAAACTCTCACTTCCAGTTACTAATGAATCGCAATTACATTTCCATTTATTAAAAAAGAGAATAATAATATTAAATGTATAATTGTCGACATTAACTTATGTTGCCATTCATTAATGAGACTGTAAAACTATATATCATAAATTCTTATTATACTACTTGATCTGAAAATTTTAATATCCTAAATTTTTATATTCATTAATCATGATGATATATATATATATATATATATATATATATATATGCAAGATAAATGATACATCAACAAACACTAGAAAGCAAATCTTTAGAATGTGTGTGGAAAGTTATGGTACTGCGGAAATTTAAAAACAAATATTATATTATCTGGGCAAAATTAATTTTCTCGCGAATAAAGTCAAATCACATCTTGAATTATAATACAGTCAGATGTTGATTCCTGTTAATAAATTATTAAGTGAGCACAATAACATATATATGATGTCTATTTATTTATATATTATTTTTTTTTTTCAGATAAAATACGTCAGAAAAACTCGATATCTTGCTTAAAATCATTTAACATTACATCTCAATGGAGTGTATTCAATAAAGCGGAATTTCTGTTAATTATCTTCTCTTATCTATAACATGATTATTCATATAAAGATAATATTTGCGGCATAAATGAAATTTTAAAACGAACTAAACTCAGAACGATGTCAAATATAAGTGATTTGTTATCTTGGCTATGTGATTTACAAATAACGCAAGAATTTAGACTTGTAAACAAAGAAGTAAGAAATGCAAGTAGCATTGTATTATCGTAAATACGTGGTATAGAAAAAATCAGTATTACAAAAGAAAAAAAAAAGAAAAAAAAGTAAGAAAACCTCTCTCTCTCTCTCTCTCTCTCTATATATATATATATATATATTTATTGAAAAAGAATTGTAATGTTGAGTTTCGCGTAATCCGAGTAAATATAATCCAAAGTCTGATTCAGTTCTACTCGCATGACTTGCACTTACGTTTGCTCTGCATAAACATTCCTTTTTACTGTTTACCCTCTAAAATACGCATTCCATATAGTCTAATTCAATATCTTTTATTAAATTGTTCGAATTTTTTTTATTTAGTTTAGTATTTGGTTAGCCTATTAGAGATGTAATTTTTGTTTTCAATTGTTAAGTACGGATGAATTTCAGTGCCTCGTATCATCCAAATGTGCATCTACGTAGTATTATGCAATAAAAATTGCATTTATGGTCTGGCTATTTGCCAAGCTCTTAATTACATATTGGATGTGCTATATTTTTATTAAATCTCGCTTATAAGCTTAATTCTTGTTGTGAGAATAAAAAAAACTATTTTTAAAGAATTTCGCAGCGACTGAAAATGTATAAATATATTTCTTTTTTTATTTGTACGTATTGCGTCGTTTGGGACGTATGTGTCGTTTTCTCCCCCTTCTCGCGCCAATCCTTAGATAAACATTCGAAAACTTATTTAAATGAAAATACCATCAAAGCTAATGATAAGTAGACATTATTTGTAGAAACGTGATAATTAAGAATTTAATTAATTTAAAACGTCAGGTATCGCATTTTCTATGATTTTCTTTTCTCTGAATTTCTTATTATAATTTATCAAGACCAACGACGGGTAGGCAACTCCATTCTCACTCTACCCATTACTATGAAATCATTAAATATTTATTTTTTTATTATGTGAATGGCAATTATGTGAACTGTAAGCTAGTGATTATTGCCGATCATGAGAACTTACTTTCTTATGAAATATCGAACGCAATTTTTAATTTAATGAATCCGAATTGCATGTATTTACCTAGTGCACGAGCTCAATGTAAAAGCATCGAGAATTTATATTTATTAATTTATATCAATTTATCGTGCAACGAAATGCTGCAATTGCTTGCATAATTTACGATTAATTTGTAAGGGTTATTTTTAAATCTTAATTTTGAAAATAAGATATCAATAATGCTGGCAGTGTAATGAATTAGTAGAGTCCATTCCAATATCTTTATTACCGCTCGTTTCATTTTGTAAAAACTATTGAATTTATACGTCCTTTTTCATTGATATTTTATATATTTATAAATACGTGCACACGTACATCAACATATACATGCCTATATTTACGTATGCACGTAAAGGCTTCGAAATAACAAATAATTGCATGAATGCAATTCATTGGTCATTAATTAATACGTTTGTAAAAATTAATGTGGCATAAATGACAATTGACATGATAATTCGGTCAAGGAGAATTTTCACAAAGTTAACTACGATTTTGATCAACTATTTCTCCAACACCCCCCCCCCCCAATTTGCCAGGCTCTCGTTCCGCTGTTAAGCCAATTGAGAAAATGCAGTTATCAGTGGCGAGCGAAAATTCTCTCTGGATGATAACACGACGACGAGTAAACAATCGCCAATGAACCGGCGTAAGACGTGGAGTGTCGCATCGCGAATTTCGTTTACCAGATACTCCGCCGACGAGATGAACGGTGCCGGAGCCAGCAATATCGACGGCCCCCATGTTCCTCAGGAAGCCGTGGTCCCCCCAAACCCATCCCGCCGGCATGCAGTAGACGATGGTGTTGAGCAGCGAGAAAAGGCAATAAGCTTTAAAGTTACATCTGTAAACATAAGATGAGCTGGAGCACTCGATTTTGCCACTGCCATTCTATTATTTATTGGGTGAATTTGAAAGAGACGAACATGGAAAAGCGATCGTAGCGTTTACCATACGTACACTTACATTATACATTAATCGAGAAACTACTAAGTACTTTCTTCGTTTTACGATTTTCTTTACGACTTATTTTCAATTTGATATATTTTGTTTTTCAAATACTTATCTCCTCGTAATATTTTATTGGATATATTATGCATTGTTATTCTCGTCATACGATATGCTACACACACACCACCACACCACATCACATCACAGTGATAATACTGTCGAGAGGGGGGAGGGGAGGGGAGGAGGAAAAAATTATCGATTTGCTTACGATATTCGTTACAATTTGCATGTATGGTGCTTCAAACATTCAATGACTCGAGTGATAGAGAATTACTCGTTCAGGTCCTTTAATTGGCCGATGCACGACATGAGTTTTATATGTACACGGCTTGGGTAAAGTGCAAGTTGCATTATCAGCACCAAAGCGCATCGACGTTTCGTAATAACAATATCGAAATATTGGACAATGTTAATGTAATCGGTAGCAAGTGACGCTGTATTATAATATTGTACCGTTCAGCCATGGCCCCGCTGACGATGGTCGTCGAAGTCGTTGCGAAGCTCAATTGAAACAAGAAAGCTGCTGATATCGGTCCGAAAAGCTCGTCGTCAATCTCCGGATCGATCAGGTATCCACCGACGCCGATGAACGAATTTGTCGGTTCCTCTCTACCGAAACTCACTCCAAAGCCGAATAGCCAATAGGTGAGTCCACCGAGAACAATGTCGACGACGTTTTTCATCATAATGTTTACTTCGTTCTTGAGGGAAACGCAACCGGACTCTAGCATTCCAAAACCTGTTT